TCTCTCTCTCTCTCTCTCCCCGCCTCCCCTTGGCAGGCCTTGCTGGGTCTCTCAGTGTCTTCTCGTTTACTACCTTGTTGTCAGCTATGGCTCACGGTGCCTGACCACTATACCTTCTCGCTCAACCTCCTGTCAGCCTCACCCATCACTTGGTTGTACAAGACCAAGACAACTGTGTGCTGGCGCCACCTGCTGCTGTGCTTCTGTATCCGAAGAATTGGCTTCCCTTCCCTTGGACTTTCCCGATGGTATTGGTAGCCTGTCGGCCTTGGACTTTTGGCCTTCGACATTTCCGGAATGTTCAGTGACTTTCTTGGGACGCGGGCCACTGACCTGTCTGCGACTGTAAGGAATGGAACTGGACTAGACCTACTGGACTGTAACGGGCTAACGCACTGGACTCCTCTAGGCCTACCTAATCTACCAGACTGGGGAACATGATACAATCGGACCGTAGGACCTTGGGACTGGGACTGGGACCAGACTCTGACAGCTGTGCCTTTCATTTGTCTTCTCAACTTCCTTTTGTGCAAAGGATGCTAAATTGAGACTAATTTTACGGCCTCGTGGGCATAAATGACCGCTGTTCTTTTCACAATCTCCTCACCTGCTCTCCCCTCGTTCAAGGTATGCCACAGTCTTTTTCTCATCAATTGTCTATTCCAAGCTGTCATTTCATTACCTAATTGTGAATGAAGTTGATGCCCATGTTGCACAAGTAAGCAGGGGCTCAGATAAGCTACTGATTGAGCATTGTGTTGGGCCTCTCTGTGGCAGGAATTTTTGCTTGATTTCCACCCTACGCTTCGCATTGAGAATGCCCTTCCCTACGTAATGCAAGTGACAATCCATGATGCTGAAAATCCAGATGGGCAGTCACAGACCTGCAGCATTCGCCCTGGTAAGTTTTCATACTGGTCATATGGAGTTCTGGATGTTTATGAAGTTCATTAGCTTTATAGTGATATTCTATGCAATAATTTCAGTTCTATTAAAATCCATGTAACTCGCAAGGTTTGGGAAACAAAGTGCTTTTCAATGTTTACATACCAAAAAAAAAAACATTTTGGCATTTTCCACCTGGTATTTTTGTGGCTGCCTGGACCGACCATACCCACAGCCAGCAAAAATTCCGAGTCTGGCTATGCACCTTCCTACCCGACACCAAAAGTCTGAGTATTCCTACCCCACATCGAAAATCTGATTTCTTTTTTTATTTTAAAAAGAACTTTAGGGTTCTGGCTCCTTTTCCATTCTGGGGATCATCAGTCCGGTTCCTATTCCACCGGCAAGTCAGAAAATATTACAATAAGACTGAATAAGCACTCACACACGCTCCTCCCCCTTATGGTGTGGATCTTATACACATCTAGATGAGCACTCACACACGCTCCTCCCCCTTATGGTGTGGAGGCCCGAAGGATGGCATTGATTACTTCCGGAAGGAAGGATGTACCCCCCTTTGACTGCCTTATCCTTCTGGTGATTTGTAGCTTGCCTCCTTGAGTCTCTACCTGCCTGTTTCTCTCAACTCCTTGACTTACAGATTTACTTAACTTGCCGGAGCTGCCGGTTAGGCTTCTTTCCGTGGTCCTGTTAAAACCATAAACCCTGTCCGTGTTCATTGCTAGCTACTTCTGTTAGAGCCCTAACCTCTAGCTAAATTTCCCTCTCCCTTTTTGGGTAATTGCTGACTTAAATGCACCTTCCTATGCGGCAACAAAAAATCTGAGAACTACTATGCACCTTGTCACCGGACAGCAAAACGCTGGGTACTCCTACCCGATGGCAAGAATCTGAGTGCTCCTACCCCTCTGCAAAAATCTGATAGTATTGATGCACCTTCCCACACGACTGCAAAATCTGAATACTACCCTACCCAACAGCAATGCACCTTCCCACCCGACAGCGAAAATCCAAATACTACCATGCACATTCCCACTTGACAGTAAAATATGAACGCTACTATGCATCTTCCAACCTGACAGCGAAAAATTCCATGACTATGATGCACCTTCCTTCTTTGAAAATACTATGCATCCTCCTACCCGTCCGTGAAAATCCGAATACCATGGTGCACATTCCTACACCTGACAGCAGAATTCTGAATCTGTGCACCTTCCCAATCGACAGCAAAAATCTGGACAATGATCCGACAATCCAAATACTTCTTCTGTGGAACCTTCCTACCAAAAAGCAAAAATCCGATTACAGCTATGGACCTTACTACCAGACAGCGAAAATCCGGTTACTCTTATGAACCACATACAGGGTGTTAAAAAATCTGAATAGCCCAGGACGGAACTCCAAATACCCAAGAGCGAAAATCTGAATACCCGGGAGGGCAGAGCAAAAATCTGAGTACCCGAGACTAGAGGGGGAGAAAAAATCTGAATGTGCAAGGGCCTAGCTCAGTTGGTAACTTGGTGCACCCAATTAACTGTCAAAATACCCAAGTTCGAGTCTAGCTGCAATGAGATGAACAGATTTAAATAATTCCGAAAGGAAGTTGAGGAATGAAAAATTGAAGAAGTTCAAAAAAGTTGAAAAAACTTCAAAAAAGTTAAAAAAACTGAATACCAAAGAGCGAAATCCAAATACCCAGGAGCAAAATTCTGAATACCGGAGAGCGAAGACTCCCGAAGAGTGACAATCCGGATACCAGAGAGAAAAAGAAGAAATCATGAAGATCCAGATATCCACGAACCAAAATCCGAATACCTGATACCTCAGCAGATAGGAGGACAAGGTGATGGGCTGTAAGTGCTGGGGATGTAACATTGGTGTTTTGGGTGTCCGATTGGACTTAGGCTACCAGGGGCTGTTATAGCTGGTACGGGGTCCAAAGGTGAGAAATGAGCGAGGACCATATGTAAACAGCTGGTCAGAGATCGGTATGGAACTGGTGCGGATTTGGTTGGAACCAAACAAGGGATACAGGTATAGGTGCTACAGAGGCAACGAACGATGATGGATTGTACTAGAAACAGGATGCTAAGCGGCCTCAGGAACTGTTAGGAGCGCCCCCCCCCGCGCCTCGCCTATCCTAAGGCTGCCCTGCTGCATGACTGGGTGTGCTGCCAGTAAGCCTCCCGGCCGGCAGGGCAACCCTCCGAAAGGTCACGGTTTGGGGGGAGGGCCGCCCGGAAGCAGTCCCCCCATTGGTAGGTGACTAGTGCCACAAGGGATGGGCTGACCCTCTCTCCCGTCTGTTCCTCCCCCTTTTCTTCAGTTGTAAAAACCCGCTTGCCGGTGATGAGCAACCGGACTGAGGCCCCCCAGAATAGAAGGGGCGTATGTTTGTTAAGAAATACTAATAATAAACAAAAATTGAACAGTCCGAATACCTGAGCACTGAAATCTGAATACTACAATGTACCTTCTCGCCTGAGAGCAAAAATCTGAGTACGACTATGAAGGAGTATGCACCTTCCTACCCGATAGTGAAATGGAACACTACTATGCACACATTAGTACATTACCATAGTTGAAGTCCGCATCTTATTGTGCACCTTCCAACCCGACAGCGAAAATCCAAATACTGCTATGCATCATCCTACCAGACACGGAAAGCAATCGGGCCTACCGGTTGGTTGAAGATGCTGTACAGTAGCCAACCCACGGCCCCCTGCATGCTCACCTCGGCCTCTTTTCAAACCTCGTCCGTTTCCTGGTAAGCCCGCCTTCACTTAGTGCGGCTGCAGGTCCTTTGCAACCTGGCTGAGGCCCCTTATGCTTCGCATAAGCATGGGAACTTTGAAAATTTCAAAATCCTTGGACCAGACCATGGTTCAAAACCCAGCTGCGCTCAACAGCCTGGACTCCTGGTGTTTACTTTTCCGTTGACTTGTAGTCTCCTACATAGGGAAATAGTATCGAAATACTCATTTGTCAACATTGGAATTCATATGTTGAAGGTGTCAAGCTTGGTTAATGATGGGTAGCAGAAGGGCTGTGGGTATTTGCTCTTCATAAAATGTTGGAGCACACGTGTAGGTCAGGAACAAAGCTTAGATTATTGGGAGGTAGAAACAGGGAATGAAGTTGAGGGCACACAGCATGAGGATAACTGTTCTGTGAAGTGACTTGTACACACTTGTGACCAATCAATTGGGGTACTTCTACCCACTACATACGAGTCTTGACAATAAGGGCGGGATTTTCCAACAAGGAAAGAGCGAAATGGATGGTCCCATTGCGGCTGAACTCTCCCTGCAGACACTGTCATAGCTCCCGAGTTCTCAAATAAATGAGCCATAGACCAAAGAAAACCACCCAGCTGACTTCGCAACCATTTGTGGGCTCAATTGTTGTCTTGTGGATGGATACAGTAGGATGATTCGTTTGTCAGGGTCATGATTGGCTGAGGCTCAGGTTTTATTGAACTTGATTCCTTCCACTTTTTCTTTTCTTTTCTATGGACCATTTCTTGATTTATGTGTGTCATCCTTGCACAGGGACAACGCTCATCTTCGCTGTATCGTTTCTTTGTTGCAGAGTGATGAAATGAAAATCATGAATCCTGACAAAGCTCTGTGAAACCCACTGTTTGATGCAGGTCATCACTTCTGCGTGAACATGGACCTCTCACATAAGCTTGAAATGAGTGCTGCGGTAACAGGCCTCGCCAGTGCTTGACAAAATGGGCAAACTTTTCCTGAGCTCTCTCTCTCTCTCTCTCTCTCTCTCTCTCTCTCTCTCTCTCTCTCTCTCTCTCTCTCTCTCTCTCTCTCTCTCTCTCT